CCTGGGTGTTGTGAGGAAGGGAGGATCAGCTGGGTGTTGTGAGGGAGGACCAGCTGGGTGTTGTGAGGGAGGACCACCTGGGTGTTGTGAGGGAGAGACGACCAGCTGGGTGTTGTGAGGGAGGGAGGACCACCTGGGTGTTGTGAGGAAGGGAGGATCAGCTGGGTGTTGTGAGGGAGAGAGGATTACCTGGGTGTTGTGAGGGAGAGAGGACCAGCTGGGTGTTGTGAGGGAGAGAGGACCACCTGGGTATTGTGAGGAAGGGAGGACCAGCTGGGTGTTGTGAGGGAGGGAGGACCAGCTGGGTGTTGTGAGGGAGGGAGGACCACCTGGGTGTTGTGAGGGAGGGAGGACCACCTGGGTGTTGTGAGGGAGGACCAGCTGGGTGTTATGAGGGAGGACCAGCTGGGTGTTGTGAGGGAGAGAGGACCACCTGGGTGTTGTGTGGGAGAGAGGACCAGCTGGGTGTTGTCAGGGAGGGAGAATAAGCTGGGTGTTGTGAGGGGGGACCAGCTGGGTGTTGTGAGGGAGGGAGGACCAGCTGGGTGTTGAGGGAGAAAGGACCAGCTGGGTGTTGTGAGGGAGAGAGGACCAGCTGGGTGTTGTGAGGGAGAGAGGACCAGCTGGGTGTTGTGAGGGAGGGAAGACCAGCTGGGTGTTGTGAGGGAGAGAGGACCAGCTGGGTGTTGTGAGGGAGAGAGGACCAGTTGGGTGTTGTGAGGGAGAGAGGACCAGCTGGGTGTTGTGAAGGAGAGAGGACCACCTGGGTATTGTGAGGAAGGGAGGACCAGCTGGGTGTTGTGAGGGAGGGAGGACCAGCTGTGTGTTGTGAGGGAGGGAGGACCACCTGGGTGTTGTGAGGGAGGGAGGACCACCTGGGTGTTGTGAGGGAGGGAGGACCATCTGGGTGTTGTGAGGGAGGGAGGACCACCTGGGTGTTGTGAGGGAAAGAGGACCACCTGGGTGTTGTGAGGGAGGGAGGACCACCTGGGTGTTGTGAGGGAGGGAGGACCACCTGGGTGTTGTGAGGGAAAGAGGACCACCTGGGTGTTGTGAGGGAAAGAGGACCACCTGGGTGTTGTGAGGGAGGACCAGCTGGGTGTTGTGAGGGAGGACCAGCTGGGTGTTGAGGGAGAGAGGACCAGCTGGGTGTTGTGAGGGAGGGAGGACCATCTGGGTGTTGTGAGGGAGAGAGGACCACCTGGGTGTTGTGAGGGAGACAGGAAGGACCACCTGGGTGTTGTGAGGGAGAGAGGACCACCTGGGTGTTGTGAGGGAGAGAGGACTACCTGGGTGTTGTGAGGGAGACAGGAAGGACCAGCTGGGTGTTGTGAGGGAGGACCAGCTGGGTGTTGAGGGAGGACCAGCTGGGTGTTGAGGGAGGACCACCTGGGTGTTGTGAGGGAGACAGGAAGGACCACCTGGGTGTTGTGAGGGAGAGAGGACCACTTGGGTGTTGTGAGGGAGAGAGGACCAGCTGGGTGTTGAGGGAGGACCAGCTGAGTGTTGTGAGGGAGACAGGAAGGACCAGCTGGGTGTTGTGAGGGAGAGAGGACCAGCTGGGTGTTGTGAGGGAGGGAAGACCAGCTGGGTGTTGTGAGGGAGAGAGGACCAGCTGGGTGTTGTGAGGGAGAGAGGACCAGCTGGGTGTTGTGAGGGAGGGAAGACCAGCTAAGTGTTGTGAGGGAGAGAGGACCAGCTGGGTGTTGTGAGGGAGAGAGGACCAGTTGGGTGTTGTGAGGGAGAGAGGACCAGTTGGGTGTTGTGAGGGAGAGAGGACCAGCTGGGTGTTGTGAAGGAGAGAGGACCACCTGGGTATTGTGAGGAAGGGAGGACCAGCTGGGTGTTGTGAGGGAGGGAGGACCAGCTGTGTGTTGTGAGGGAGGGAGGACCACCTGGGTGTTGTGAGGGAGGGAGGACCACCTGGGTGTTGTGAGGGAGGGAGGACCATCTGGGTGTTGTGAGGGAGGGAGGACCACCTGGGTGTTGTGAGGGAAAGAGGACCACCTGGGTGTTGTGAGGGAGGGAGGACCACCTGGGTGTTGTGAGGGAAAGAGGACCACCTGGGTGTTGAGGGAAAGAGGACCACCTGGGTGTTGTGAGGGAGGACCAGCTGGGTGTTGAGGGAGAGAGGACCAGCTGGGTGTTGTGAGGGAGGGAGGACCATCTGGGTGTTGTGAGGGAGAGAGGACCACCTGGGTGTTGTGAGGGAGACAGGAAGGACCACCTGGGTGTTGTGAGGGAGAGAGGACCACCTGGGTGTTGTGAGGGAGAGAGGACTACCTGGGTGTTGTGAGGGAGACAGGAAGGACCAGCTGGGTGTTGTGAGGGAGGACCAGCTGGGTGTTGAGGGAGGACCAGCTGGGTGTTGAGGGAGGACCACCTGGGTGTTGTGAGGGAGACAGGAAGGACCACCTGGGTGTTGTGAGGGAGAGAGGACCACTTGGGTGTTGTGAGGGAGAGAGGACCAGCTGGGTGTTGAGGGAGGACCAGCTGAGTGTTGTGAGGGAGACAGGAAGGACCAGCTGGGTGTTGTGAGGGAGAGAGGACCACCTGGGTGTTGTGAGGGAGACAGGAAGGACCAGCTGGGTGTTGTGAGGGAGAGAGGACCAGCTGGGTGTTGTGAGGGAGAGAGGACCACCTGGGTGTTGTGAGGGAGAGAGGATCAGCTGGGTGTTGTGAGGGAGACAGGAAGGACCAGCTGGGTGTTGTGAGGGAGAGAGGACCAGCTGGGTGTTGTGAGGGAGAGAGGACCAGCTGGGTGTTGTGAGGGAGGGAGGACCATCTGGGTGTTGTGAGGGAGGGAGGACCATCTGGGTGTTGTGACGGAGACAGGAAGGACCACCTGAGTGTTGTGAGGGAGAGGGGACCACCTGAGTGTTGTGAGGGAAGACCAGCTGCGTGTTGTGAGGGAGGACCACCTGGGTGTTGTGAGGCAGAGAGGACCAGCTGGGTGTTGAGGGAGAGAGGACCACCTGGGTGTTGTGAGGGAGAGAGGACCACCTGGGTGTTGTGAGGGAGGACCAACTGGGTGTTGTGAGGGAGGGAGGACCACCTGGGTGTTGTGAGGGAGAGACGACCAGCTGGGTGTTGTGAGGGAGAGACGACCAGCTGGGTGTTGTGAGGGAGGACCACCTGGGTGTTGTGAGGGAGAGACGACCAGCTGGGTGTTGTGAGGGAGAGACGACCAGCTGGGTGTTGTGAGGGAGGACCACCTGGGTGTTGTGAGGGAGAGACGACCAGCTGGGTGTTGTGAGGGAGGACCACCTGGGTGTTGTGTGGGAGAGAGGACCACCTGGGTGTTGTGAGGGAGAGAGGACCACCTGGGTGTTGTGAGGGAGGACCACCTGGGTGTTGTGAGGAAGGGAGGATCAGCTGGGTGTTGTGAGGGAGGACCAGCTGGGTGTTGTGAGGAAGGGAGGATCAGCTGGGTGTTGTGAGGAAGGGAGGATCAGCTGGGTGTTGTGAGGGAGGACCAGCTGGGTGTTGTGAGGAAGGGAGGATCAGCTGGGTGTTGTGAGGGAGGACCAGCTGGGTGTTGTGAGGAAGGGAGGACCACCTGGGTGTTGTGAGGGAGGACCAGCTGGGTGTTGTGAGGAAGGGAGGATCAGCTGGGTGTTGTGAGGGAGGACCAGCTGGGTGTTGTGAGGGAGAGACGACCAGCTGGGTGTTGTGAGGGAGGACCAGCTGGGTGTTGTGAGGAAGGGAGGACCACCTGGGTGTTGTGAGGGAGGACCAGCTGGGTGTTGTGAGGAAGGGAGGACCACCTGGGTGTTGTGAGGGAGGACCAGCTGGGTGTTGTGAGGGAGGACCAACTGGGTGTTGTGAGGAAGGGAGGACCACCTGGGTGTTGTGAGGGAGGACCAGCTGGGTGTTGTGAGGAAGGGAGGACCACCTGGGTGTTGTGAGGGAGGACCAGCTGGGTGTTGTGAGGAAGGGAGGACCACCTGGGTGTTGTGAGGGAGGACCAGCTGGGTCTGTATCATGTGAGCGGCAGCTGTGGCTCAGGCAGACCAACTGCAGCAAATTTGTAGTTCATCTACATTATTCTTTAACATTATTAATGCTAGTTGATTTTTGTCCCACATCCTTACATTAATTTATTACATTATTATAATTAATGGCCAGAGTGGGGAGATGGTAAATATTGTTGCAGAAATCGTTCCTTGTAGCAGTGTTTCCTCCTCTCTGCCAGTGGTGCCCGGAGACTGCAACGAGAGGATTGTGTCATCTGTCTAGATACGTACTTGTGTTTTGTTTAGAGCTATAATTGTGAACAAGTTCAGTGTGAATGCATAACTGCGTTAAGATCATTAAGGAGTGTGCCAAGTTTAAGTAACCTGCTTAAGTTCAGTCACTTTCAGTATAATACTGTTTTATTTTAAGTGCCAGTGATTTAGGAGATTGTCATGACATATATTGATTATTTGTACACTTCCACAGATTATACTGAAATGTTTCCTTTTAATTAATGATTGTTTTACTTAATTAACTTCCCCTAGTTATTTTAACTGTGGGAAGAGGCCGTAAGGAAGTTGGAGACAGCCCCAAGTAACACGAGCCTTAAAAAGTGGGAGTGCTAACATTCACTTGCTCATTCATGTTTCATCATCTTTCAGTCATCATTATTAAAACAATCAGCTAGTTATCAACACGTCAACACCAGAAATATCTGTAGATTTATAAAATTATGTTGGAAATTTGGGATTACAAATAAATTGCTGAACATTACAAGGGGTAATTAAATCAACAAGGAAATGTAGAAGAAACAGCTTCGTAACTCTGCAAAATATTATCAGCATGCCCAGACATGGGCGTGCCCACACACCACATTAACATGTCAGACTTGAAATAAAGTATCAATTTGTACGGAGTGATCAAAATATTTCACACTGTATGCAGCAGTAGTCAATACTATTTGGTTATATTCTGCTACACACAAACATCAGTAAGACTTGGGTCAACACTACATACAGTGTATCCAATATAAAGTACATACAGCAAGTTGAGTAAAAATTTACTTCAATAATTGTACAAAACAGTGCTTTAAAATTCTCAACAGTAGTTTGTTTAAGCTTCCTCCAAGAAGTCATTACACCCAACAAAAATACAACCTAGCAGTCCAAATTGTACTTTTCAGTGAAAAATATTAATCCATACAAATTTCATATACTCATACAATTCTTTAAAATAATAATAATAATAATAATAATAATAATAATGCCTGTAATAATGTAACAGAAAAAGAACTATTTGGATTGGATTAATGAAAACAAACGAGACAACCCAATTCTGCAATTTGGTCACTATATATACACACAAGGCATTGCCCGGGTCTGTCTGTCATGTGCTCATCTATATCTAACATAAATCCATCTCTCTCCATTTCCCCCATCCATCTATTTATCTTTTAGCTACTCATCTATATCCATATACAGTATCAATTTATCCATGAATCTATCCCCTCCATCCATTGGTCTATGTCTGTCTCTCTCAAATACATAATTGTGAAAATTTTTAGCTTTAAAATAAAAACATTACCCCAATGGGATGGTGGAGTCAACTGTGGTATGATGCAGCAGTATTGAAGTCATATATTTATGGTAGTACAGCTTTAGTTTGAATATCAGATTTTTTTCCAAAATCAGTGCATATTACTGTACTATAAAAAAATTAACATAGTTCTTTGAACATAGTGTACACACACACATATACACACACACACACACAGAATGATGCATATATGCACTTAACATTTTAAAAAAACATATCCGCTAATGGATAGCGGATGAAGAATGCAAGAGCAGTACATACCACCTGTAAAATTAGTAATTTGTTGGTAAGGCTGGCTTCATGCTGAGGACCAAGTTTAAGTAAAGCAAGATTGATTAGAGTAAGATTATTTACTCGACACATCTTCCCATCTTCCCCTAACCCTTCTTCAAGGTTTACAAGGCCCAGACGCGTCAGCAACCGAAGGGCAACAAACAGAGGTTGTCTGATATCTTTAGCTTTAAACTCTGCAACACTGGGTTCCAATTTGTCCATCTTCTCATTATACCTGCATAACAAACAGAAAATGACGATTAGTAATTAATTATATTACCAGAGTTCCCATTGAATAATAAGTACTGTATTTGTAATACAGTCCTAATAATTTATATTCACTATGCACAATTAATGTGATGCCCCACACATCTGCTTTCATTATTAACACTTTCGCGCTCTCCGCAAAGGTCACTCAGCCAACCGAATGTGCGCGCTGCGTTTTTATCGCTTAAGCGTAAAAACAAAAATGTGTATACTCTTTTTACTCTTCTGACCTTAGTTCTCATGCTACGTATTTCATTTTGGTACCAACGTGTTCGCAATAAAATTCTCTAGAAGAACATTAGTAAAATAAGTCACGAAACATATAGGGATACCAGCACCAAATAAATAACTACGTAGATGACTCGCCGTGAGCGCCCATCAGCAACAAAATGTTTTTACTCTTGGGATTGTAATCACCTCCACACTTGTTCTACAGCGTTAATTTTGGTATCAATGGACTCGCAATGAAATTCCCAACACGGTGATATGAATATAAGCGTAGAATAATGATGCAGCCCGCCCGCAAGAGTGTGGGAAGTGGTGAAATTGTTACCCGGTATCGGTGACGGGACGACGCACGGCGCTTTGAAAGTTTATACTTATTTCACTCTCATGACATTAATTTTCTATGTACGTCATTCATTTTTATGTCAATGTGTTCGCAATAGAATGTTCTATGTGCCCATAGGTAAAAAATATCAACAAAGCGTAAGTTAGAATAGCGACAAATATAAAACAACGCTGGAACATATCAGTGAGCGTCAAACACACATGAAATATTTTTACTTTTGTTATGTTTGTCAAGATTATACTTGTTGCACACAGTTATTTTTGGTTGTATATTGATCGGAATAAAATTCCCTAAACAGACATATGCATATAATACATGATATGGGGGAAGAATTACCAGTATAAACGGCTAAAGTCACCCACCTGCAACCCGTTTGGGACAAAATACCATTTGATCGAAGTTATCCACACCTTTCATGAACTTATTGTACCATGCAGCCTAGTGGTGAGAAAGAGAGCCTGATAGCGCGCAGTTTGAAACAAACCCAAAGTAAATCGGATAAAAATTGAATTTTATACAAATATTTTAAAAGTAGACATAACTTTATGTCCACTATGCATTTACGTTAGACGAAACCGAACGCGCCGGCGCGTCCAGATAGCGCGAAAGTGTTAATAATAATAATTTCATTACATTATAACGTTTCATTACATTCAACGCTGGTTTTCTGGGGGGAGCCCCTACGGCTCCCCAGAGCTACTTCACCAAAGACTACCAAAGAAAACCATGGGGACTTACCCGGGAGGCAGTCAGCGCTTTAATCCTCAACGCGAAGTCGAGACAACGGGCAGCATCTGCCGAACTAAAGCAACACAGGCCCGACTGGGCCCAGAAACGTTCACAAGGTAACGTGCAGCCAGGACCCTGTTTGACCGTTAACATCCCCGTGCCCTAATGTCAGCCCAAGACATATTGCTGAAGACGGCAACAAGAGCAGCAAACTTACGAACGTCATAGGCACGGGGATAGACCGCAGGCTGGCTGGATTTAACAACCCCGCGAACGACATGAGGGACCCGAACCTGCGAACAGGGGAAACCGGATCAACCCAAAGTGTGTCCCTGGACACAGAAGCCATGGTGCGCAGATAACGGTGGAGGGCCGCAACCGGACACAACCACATGGTGAACCCCCGGCCTGACAAACCAAGCATCAACAACCCAAGGACCCCTCCGGAAAGCAGCAGTCTTATTCTTCGCCAGAAAAGAGGTAGACAGCTGCAGACGAATATACCGAAGACCACGACCAAAGGAGCAAAAACCTCTGCGCCAGAGAAGAGCATGAAGCTCCGCCACGCGACCCCCAGAGGCCAATGCCAACAGAAAAAGAGCCTTAGCAAAAAAATTTGGAACCAAAGGGGCCACAACAAACCGAGAAGAAAGATAGAAGAGCACTCTGTCCAAAGACCAGGATGGTTCAGGCAGCATATGAGCAGGCCCGGAGGTGAAACAACGCCCGAGACAGCTTGAGAAAAAGCGGAGAAGTAACATCAATACCGAAAGCAAGCTGCAGCGGCTCCGCCAGCGCCGCACAATACGAGGCGACAGTATTAGGCATCAGATGATGGTCCTGAAACAACCAAGAGAGAAAGGACAGCACCACCCGAACCGAAAGCGAGGAACAACGACGAAGGATCAGAAAGAACCGGAAGGACCGCCAGGAAACTTCATACTGCCGCCGAGAGGAAACCCACAGGTGAGAAACCAACAAGGAAGCCACCTGCTCACCATAGAGATGGTGATAAACACGAGTCAAAAACACTAAACACAAAGACTCGCGGAGAAGAGCGAACCAGTCACGTACAGGACCGGCCCGATCTCCTGAAAAACAACGACAGTCCACTAGCCAGGAAAAAACCTCTGCACTTCCCCAAAAATAGGAGGATGAACCAAACCAAAGAAAGGCGCAGAATACAAGTGAAATTCAAGGCACGTCAGAGGATTGCTGAAAGGCCCCCCTCCCTTCCTCCCCGAGCCTCCACCAACGAAACCCGGGAGGAAGAACCTCTGGAAGGACAAGTACAAGGAACCCAAAGGCCCATGGAAATGAACCAATCGGGGAACTGCCTAGCTCAAACGCACACACAGAAGGAGGGGGGGATAAAAAAAAAAAACACTTCCCTTGCAATGACAGACCCTTCGCAGAGGGCACGAGGGCTCACTAAGGGTCAAATGGAACCCAAGAGCCCCAACCTGCCCCCCCCCCCAAACCCTGGGAACCACAGCCACTCTGCAGTTCCCAGTGTTGAGTGCTCTGCCCCACTCGGAAGAGGTATACATAGTACAACCGAGCCAGTGGGGGTTTTCCAAGGCTTGCAGGGTATGCGCAATGCAGGAAGTCCAGGCATTCTTACCAGATAGAGAGGAATCAAATTTACACTTCTGATCGAGATACAGGTGTGTATCTCAGTCAGAAGCATAAGTGACAGCCTCCACAGTCTCAGCAGAAGAGGAAGAACAAGAACGGACAACATGAAAACGACCAGGAGGAGGATGGACATCAGCCAGGAGGTGCAAGTGTGGACGACCAAAAAGACAGTGGGGAGGACTGAGAAGATGGGGTTGGGAAGGGGACAGAGAAGAGGGAGGAGATGGAGAGATGACACTAAACTGAACAACAGGAGAAGACTTGGAGGGGAAGGGTTGAAACACCAGGGGGTGAACCGTAAGGAAAATTATCAAGGTCAGAATGGAGGTGAATGGAAGACGTAGAACTTGTGGAGGTATCAGAGTCGCATGGAAACAGTTGTGGAATCGAGAAAGGAGGGGGGGGGAAAGGGTGAGAAATGGGATGCAACATACGAGTATAAATTGTTGGAGAAAAAGTTAAGGCAACGAACTTGGCGTCTTGCCTCTGGGAAAGAAATCCTATCACAATATTTTAAATTGAGAATAGCTTCCTCAAATTTGTTGTGTATGCACAAGCAGGAGAAGAGCACTCTGTCTTAGAACACCTAAGGCTCCACACAAGGGTCACAGGGACACCTCACTAGTGCATCACAAGAGACCATGTCCAAATTTCCAACACCTATTGTAGATGTGATGAGAGAGACCTGAACAAAGCATCTGGCACCTACATGAATTACGAACCAATGCAGCCCGCAAATGGCCCCCAGGGAGTCGTGTGAGAGTCCCTTCACCATGACAAGGTGACATTCTGGAATGGATGTCTCTAATGTTAAACCGTTGTCTTTACAGTATATCATCTTATAAATTCTTAGCTAAATATCACTCACTCTGCCTAAAATGCATGTATGATTTAAATATCATACACCTGTATAGTACAGTCAGTCTTGTCATGTGATAGACGTGTTATTAACGTACAATACTGTACTCTTTATGTAAACCTTCCCAATTATGAATGTACTGTACTAACATTTACAGGATACATACTAACATATGTATGTCAGTCAACATACTAACATATGTATGTCAGTCAACATACTAACATATGTATGTCAGTCAACATACTAACATATGTATGTCAGTCAACATACTAACATTTATGAATAAAATCTTAGATTTAAATGACTCGTTACACTAGTAACTCTTACACACGCACCGCTACCAATACACATTTTCACATTTCACCAACAACATTTCACAGCATTTATCAGTACACTGATAAATGTATTCATGCTCATCACTCTTCTAAAGTCCCTCTATAATTATTTTATGTTTTTCTAAATCCAAATATACCATGTATGTCTTACAATCTCTCCTAGCCAGCATGCCAAGCATTAAGTTCTTTAACACTCTTAGCTTGAATAAATTACATACTTAGGTAAACGATGTCTTGGACATGGCACAAAGTGGAACAGTTGAGGAACAGAATACACAAAGTTGAAAATCTGAGGCAGGAAAAACAAGAGAACAGTCTTGCTAAAGTGGCCAATTATGGCCACCACTGCAAACGTCATCCCAGCAAAATAGGTGAATGTGTCTCCTACAAATGCTCTTGATGGATACCTGTTCCAAAGAAAAGAAAAACATTAAATATTAAAAGTTTGGGAATATCATCTTTCCATTTGTAACAAATTTATTAACACACAAAATAGTAGTTCCTCTCACATTCAGAGCACGACAGCACACGAGCCCATTCTTTTCAACCATTAAATATATATTTGTGGCTCGTTCCAGCAAATAAGAATACGGTACCAAAAATATATTACTATTATCTGTAATTATTTAAATTTCCTACATTATTTTAGCATTTGACCCTCTTTTAAACACTTTTCTGGCATCACATATTATGGTAACAATTCTTACTTGCTCAATTACTTAACACTCTGGCGCACCCCACGCGCCACCCCTCAACTGTGCGATTTGGGTCCCAGAGTTTCACGGGAGCGCGCGTTAATTCTGAGAAGTGTATACTCTCTTCAAGTTTGTCACCTTAATTCTCGTCCTACGAGATTAAATTTGGTATCATTGTGTTCGCAATAGAATTCTCTACAGCACTAAATGCATATAAACTCCAAAAGCCCAGCTAATTACCCGCAGCAAACAGAGAAAGTGCGAACGAGTTACCCAGGAGCGCGCAAAAGCGATAAAATGTGTTCACTCTTTTCACTCTGGTCACCTCAATTTTCGTTCTAGGTCTTTCATTTTGGTATCAATGGGTTCGCAATAGAATTCTCTAGAGGAATATTAGCATATAAAATAAAAAACCTGGTCACGCTCCACCCGCCGACGAGTTGAAGACGGGCCACGCGTTAACTGCGAGTGAGCGCCCAGACGCCTTCCAGCTACACTCCCAATCCCTGCCCACAAATGTTTAGTATTTAGTATTTTAGTATATTTAGTATTAGAGTTTAGTATTTTTTGTGTAGTAGTTGTACATCACATAAGCATTGTAGATAGCCATTTGCACAAAATAGGTCATTTTCTTCGTCCATTTGTGAGTTTTCCTTATGAAGTGATAATATTTGATCATTTGGTCAAAGTGATCAACACCTTTCATGTTTGTATTGTAGTCACAGATTGCATTCGCCTTGTTGACAGTTACCAGTCCCAAAAAAATCGGATAAAAACCTGATTTTTGGCAATTATTTTAGTGGACGACGCAGCATTGCGTCATCCCCGAGATTACCGACAGTAAATGGATGATGCAATGCTGCGTCATGCCCGGACTAAAGTGTTAATTAATAACTAAACTATAACTTTTGTCCATTGAACTACTTTATAAAACCATACTACAGTACCCAACAAAAATGGACTATCTTGTATTTATTGCCATTCTAAACTATTTCTTAAAATATGTTGACCAAACCACACACTAGAAAGTGAAGGGACGATGACATTTTGACAATCGACTTGAGAATGGTCCAGGACAGATCGAAATGTCGTCGTCCCTTCACTTTTTAGTGTGTGGTTTGGTCAACATATTTCAGCCACGTTATTGTGACTCCTCATCTGCATATTTCTTAAAACATAAATCCACCGAGTCCAATCACAAAAAGGCATTAAAAAAAAAAAAAAAACAGCGTTGAATGTAATGAAACGCCATTTTCTAGGTGGGCCCTGGAGCTTACCGGGCTGATATGTATTAGACCATGGCATCAGTCAATGGAGTTCTTGCCTACCGGAGACCACGAGCCAGAACCTGGCCCCCTCAGAGAGGCACGAGGAGCAATGGTCTATGGAAACCCCCGTGTGTTTGGAAGCATTCCATGTATGCTATCAACTGGGGTTTGGCACCCAAAAAGGTAGGTGTGACAAAACAAGTACCACTTGGTAAAAATTGCTACCTAAAACCAAATTAGGGAAACAGAACTCCCAAATTAAAACAATTAAAATTCACTAATGCCATCGCACCGATCATCCAAGCAGCTGCCTCCCCCCCCTGCCCCACCCAGGAGGGGGAGGGGGAGAGGGGGGGCCTGGAACCCCTGTGTCGGCTGCGTTCAGCATTCAGTTTTGAGGCTGAGCATCAAAAAGTGCGCGAAAAACCACCGGCTGTAGGAGGGATGCCGGGGAGTCTGCAGGGCTGACCGGGAAAATGGCATTTCATTATATTCAACACTGGTTTTCTGTGGACAGCCCATACGGCTCCCTGGAGCTACCTAAACAAAGAAAAGCGACAAAAGGGACTTACCCGGGAGGAGGCCGCCACATCTCAACTCAAAGTCAAAACAACTGGCTGCAACCTGGAACCCAAAGCAACACATGCCCGACTAGGGCCAGGAACGTTGACCAAGTAACGCTTAACCAAGACTCTGTCTGACCTCCAAAATCCCTGTGTCCGAATGTCAGCCCAAGACATGTTACCAAAGACGGCAAACTTATGAGTCGTGGGAAGGAGGATACCATGCAGGCTGGTTGGACCGAATAACTCTGTGGACAACCTGGAAGACCCGAGCCCTGGAACAAGAAACAAGGAAAACAGGGTCAACCCAAAGCGCATCCCCGGCCACATAGGCTGTGATGAGCAGGTAACGGCGAAGAGCCACATCCGGACACAACACATGATGCACCTTCGGACTGACTAACCAAGCATCAAGGACCCCTCTGGAAAGCTGCCAACTCATTCTTCGCCAGAAAAGAAAGAGACAGCTGCAAACGAACAAACATACTAGCAGGATCGAAAGAGCAGAAACCCCTGCACCAGAGGAGAGCATGAAGATCCCTGACCCATCCCCCCAGAACCCAATGCCAACAGGAAAAGAGCCTTGTACAATAAGCAACCTTGGACCGAAAGGGCCACCACAAACCGAGAAGAGAGAAAGAAGAGCACCCTGTCCAAGAACCAGGACGGCTCAGGCGGTGTATGAGAACGCCGGAGGTGGAACAAAGCATGAGAAAGCTTATGGAATGGAGTGGAAGTAACATCCACCCCGAACGCAAGCTGAAGCAGCTCCGACAGTGCCACACGATACGAGGTGACAGTATTAGGCATCAAATAATAGTCCTGAAAATGCCAAGAAAGAAAGGACAAGACAACCTTATCCAAAATAAAGGACAACCTATGAAGAGAAAATGGCAGGAGTGCCAGGAAACTTCATACTGTCGCCGAGACGAAACTTGCAGGTGGGACACCATCAACTAAGCCCCCCTATCACCATACAAGGGATGATAGACCCGCATCGGAAAGACCAGATGCAAAGAGCGAAGAAAACCAAACCAGCCAGATACCTGACTGGGCTTTTCAGCTGTAATAGGCAGAGCTACAGAAAACATCGTGGGTTTGGACACTGTGCAAGTAGCGCCTGAAACTAAGGCTGGGCCGGCCACCAAGGAGCCAACAGGACTACTCTCTCCTGCTAAGTCTCCAACTGAGCCAGGACCCGAAGTAACAGCTAGACCGAGGGGAAAAGGTACAGATAACCACCTCAACCTGTTCTGCTGAAAGGCGTCTGCCGTAACGGCCTCAGAGTTGGGGAAGGGTGCCACATACACAGGAAGACACCAGGACCACGCCGATGCGAAGAGGTTCACGTCCGGGAGTCCGTACATCCGGCAGAGCAAACTGAAGGAGTCGGCATCGACCATCCATTCCGCAGACAGACAAAAGCAGTCCGCCAGGACACTGAACACTCCCCGGACATGAACCGTACGGAGAGCCAAACCCCGAAAATCCTGCAAACGAGTCACTCGAAGAGACCAGACCCAAAGAGCTCTAAACCCCCTCTAAATCCATGTTGTCTTGGATTGTGTGGCTCATTATTTTCCATAAAACTAGAAATTTGATTCCTAATCACTCTTTCAAACACTTTTATGTGTGATGTTAGTGCAACTGGTCTATAATTTTTTGCCAAGGCTTTATTACCCCTCCTTGAGCAGAGGAGCTATATCTGCAGATTTAAGTGCAGCTGGTATCTCCCCTATATCCAGGCTTTTTCTCCATATTACGCTGAGTGCTCGCGCTATTGGTACTTTACATTTCTTTATGAATATTGAATTCCTTGAGTCAGGCCCGGGAGCCGAGTGCATGGGCATATTGTCAATTTCTCTTTCAAAGTCTTCCGAGTTCGTGTTAATATCCGTTATATTATCTGCAGATAATATAGAAAGAAGCTGTTTGGGTCATCAAATTTCATGTTGTTTATTGGTGTGTGCTAAACAAAGCCTCATACTGGCTTCTTAGAATTTCACTAATCTCTTTGTTGTCCTCTGTGTACGTACCTTCAGTTGTAATTAACGGTCTAATACTAGTCGAGTCTTTTTATTTTGATTTTGCGTATGAGAACGCAAGCAGCAGTCTCCGTGGTGTCTTACCACTAGGTAAGACACTCGCCTGGCGTTCCGCGAGCGCTATGTCATGGGTTCATATCCTGGCCGGGGAGGATTTACTGGGCGCAATTCCTTAACTGTAGCCTCTGTTTAACTCAACAGTAAAATGTGTACTTGGATGAAAAAACGATTCTTCGCGGCAGGGGATCGTATTCCAGGGACCTGCCCGAAACGCTACGCGTACTAGTGGCTGTACAAGAATGTAACAACTCTTGTATATATCTCAAAAAAAAAGAAAATATTTTGGATTTTTATTTATCTCTTGTATAGCTTTCTGTTCCAATTCCATTTCCTGACTCATATGATCGCTTCAACGTTTGTTCTATTTCTTCGATCTCCCTGCTTAGGTTTACTTTTCTTTCTTCTGATAGTTGTGTCTGCCGAAGTATTTCCATTATTTTTTTCCTTCTCCTGTACAGTCGTCTGCGTTCTCTTTCTAGAGTGGCCCTCTTTCTGACCCTCCTCACAGGCACGTACTTCAAGCAGACCTTGTAAGCTTCAGCTGTCAGTTGAGCTATTCCCTGTAATTACCTAAGTGTAATTACCTAAGTGTAGTTACAGGATGAGAGCTACGCTCGTGGTGTCCCGTCTTCCCAGCACTCTTTGTCATATAACACTATGAAACTACTGACGGTCTTGGCCTCCACCACCTTCTCACCTAACTTGTTCCAACCGTCTACCACTCTGTTTGCGAAAGTGAATTTTCTTATATTTCTTCGGCATCTGTGTTTAGCTAGTTTATATCTATGACCTCTTGTTCTTAAAGTTCCAGGTCTCAGGAAATCTTCCCTATCGATTTTATCAATTCCTGTTACTATTTTATATGTAGTGATCATATCACCTCTTTTTCTTCTGTCTTCCAGTTTTGACATATTTAATGCCTCTAACCATGGGGCCTCGTAGCCTGGTGGATAGCGCGCAGGACTCGTAATTCTGTGGCGCGTGTTCGATTCCCGCATGAGGCAGAAACAAATGGGCAAAGTTTCTTTCACCCTGAATGCCCCTGTTACCTAGCAGTAAATAGGTACCTGGGAGTTAGTCAGCTGTCACGGGCTGCTTCCTGGGAGTGGAGGCCTGGTCGATGACCGGGCCGCGGGGACACTAAAGCCCCGAAATCATCTCAAGATAACCTCTCTTCGTAGCTCTTGCCCTTCAGTTCTGGGAGCCACTTAGTAGCATGTCTTTGCACCTTTTCCAGTTTGTTGATGTGCTTCTTAAGATATGGGCACCACACAACCGCTGCATATTCTAGCTTTGGCCTAACAAAAATCGTGAACAATTGCTTGTTGGGTGTCTTAGACCTACTACTGTTATTTATGCTAGTTTGCACTTCAATGAGCTTATGGTCTGAGCAACCACAGCGCCACCCAAACGAAGAAGGTCCTAGAGAAGACACTGGCACCAATGGCCCACCTCGAGCTACCGAAGCCAGAGGCCTGGCATAGGAAAAGTGAGAACGATTCCCCCCCCCCCCTCGAGCACCAACAAATCAGAAATAGGACGGCAGCTGGATGACACACCACAGCCAAAGACAGTCATAATCTCTGTAGAAAAACAACAACGGACAAAAAGGAGTCGAAAACTGAAGAGTCAGGACCCAATTGGAGTAAAGAGAGGGGGGCAAGGACAGCTTGTTGATGCACGAGGAGAGGCAAAAAATAAAAAACCGCCTGACCTCTAAGATCTCCCAAAGAAGAATGGGTAAGGTAGACAACGAGCGTGGAACAAGTCCCACACAACCCCCGGGTCGTAGGGGTCACCGACCCAACAAACAGCATGATGGAGGCAGAACAGATGATCGTCACCCGTGAGACAATGGTAACGAAAAACCTTCAAACTCGCACAAAGCATGAGGGGACTCGGAAGATACATCCATAGCCACACTGAGCCCCAAGGGGTTTACCAGGCCCTGCAGGAGGAAACCCAGGCACAGGTGTAGTTAAAGTCGGCCGTACCTCGTCTAATACTGGGCAAACTGACCCCAGGAAACCGTGTGTGCAACCTGGGGGCCCAAAGGAGGACAACCAAACACAACCTAGGCGAACCTAATCAGAAGCTAGGCAGACCGTCTCCAGGAAAACTAAAAACTAAACCAGAAACCTTCAAAAATACACCACAAACAACCAGAGGCCAGAGAGAGAGAGACATGGCTGCTGCGACTATGCACGCTGTGCAAAATACTGTGCCCCAGCCAGCAACAACACTCCCTACCAAATGCCAGACAGAGAGCCCCACGACCCCGGATGAACCCCAAGGGCAAGGTTAATGACAAGTGACAACAACTTTAACGGGAGTGCAATTCTGAAAGTTCCGTAAAGAAGAAAACCCTGAACATGCAAGGGCAGTACCTACCGTGCGCCCAGGTAAGGTAACCCTAGGCGTATGCAGCCCAAGTTTATCTTGGAACTCCCGGCCACCGCACAATAGATACACAGAGCCGGCACAACCCCGCATGGTAAATTCCAGCAAGAGAGTGAGGCCAGATGTAACGTCAGCTCTATGGCATCAGTTGACGAACTGCCGGCATCAGCACTTGGGGTCGTCTGGGTTGGGGACCCTCCCTTCCCCCCCTCCAATGCGAGGGGGGTTGCTAACGAGTGGGCATGCTGGTTGAGTAGACATTTGCTTGTTTGTCGTTTTCTTCTGGAGGGAGTTCTTAGCCTCTGGTTGCAATGTTTTTACTAGTTGGGGTTTGTAATGATTCACCTACCTTTCTGGGTGGTACCCCCGATCGATGGCAGACATAACTATACTCTCAAAAGTGGAGTGTTCATAAGCCAATGCTCCCTTCGCCTCTGAGGGAATCAGGATCTGGTTTGTGGTTCCAGGTAGGCATAAGGATTCCAGTAACTGATGCTGTAGACTAATATGATGAAAATCAGTCCATTAGCTTTGTGGAGCCTCTGGAGCTCCCCTCAGAAAAATAGTACTCCAAACAAAACTAAAATTAAAGAAATACAGAACAATAATGGATGTACCGATTGTAATAGAACAAGCCCAGCGATGATGCAGTGAAGGGGATGATAATACACAAAGAAAAATAATGAGATTCACTCTGGTAGCCACCCAGCTCCACCACGTTGAACACCGCTACTGAAGCTCCGATAACTACGGCCTGTCCACACTCCAGGCCGTTGATGCCAGCATATATGTTGATGGCATTAGTGCAAAACACTGCCAGCATTGACATGTACAAATAGTACAAAGGGCCTGCAAGAGAAAAATTATGAGATGTGAAAGTTTTCCATTTTATGCTGCCGCTTTCTTAGCAACGTAAACAAATGTGAAAAAAAACCTGTCACCAGTATTTATATAACATTGTTTCCCATTGTTACAGAAACCATAAATAAATATTTTTTTATTCCAATTCCAATGGGGTATTCCTCGCTAACAACAATTCCCGGCATTTGGTCTTGGGTGTAAAAATTTGGGTACAGCCAGATTTACTTTTAAATTTAAATACTGTATTGCCCATCCTTCCGAGATATGTTAAAATGAATCCCAAATCAGCTTCTATAAGCATAAGTACCCAAATTCCAAATGACCTTATTTTTTGACACACACTGGTAGTGAAAGTTACAAGCTGATAGAGAAACAACTCATGAAAAACTGAAAGGTTCAATGTAATGAAACACACTTTCCTGGTGAGCTCACAGTCACTCCAGTAGCTTAACTCTGGTACTCACCAGCCCAACACCCACACCAGGCCTCAAAGACCAGTCCATCACCCATCACGAGCCAGGACCAGAATGTGGCTCACAATGGGGCAAGAGGAGCAGGGGATCAGAGAGCAACCACACAACCAGGCAAAATCTACCAGAATGCATAATTTTAAAGCAGGACTGTCTTCTTGTGGAAGGGCATACCCAACTCTTGTGATGTGCAACTGTCACATCCAGGAAAGTGGCCCCTGTGCACATGAGCATTAAAAGTTGTCAAAATACAGAACATTGTCTCTAAGTGACAGGTATTCAATACCCTCAAGCTAGCCTTTCTAAAGTCTCAATTTTGGACAAAACATCTAACTGACCAACTTATGTTTTTGTGCAAGTATTTTTTTTATATGGCTACATATTCTGTTTCTTTTGAAGTAATAAGATATATTTCCCAAGTACATCTCGTCCATACATATTTACCATGTTCCAAAAATCACAGAGTAACCGGTTAATCCATTTATTTTATGAACACAGTATATTGAATCACTTTTTCTAAGTCAAGCATCTCTAGGGGCATTACCTGTGTGTACTGTGAGTCAGTAAATCATTACATATAGTATTCCCTAATAATATTTGGTATTGTAATTAATAACATTTAAGCTGAAAAAATTGTGAGTTGTTTAAGAACAAGAACATAAATTGTCATATGTATTAACCTTAACGGTACAAATCATAATTCAAACAACCACACATGCCCAGATCAAGGACACACAGCCAGATAGCTGGAGAGAACCATCATGCACAGAACCTGGAAAAGATGGGCTTGGAACATGGGATGTGAGAAGCAGGTGCAGAAAACAGAGCCCCAATCCTAACAGCTCATAAAAACTCTGCATTGCTGCCACACAGTGCCTAATGGGCCCTGGCCACATATCAAAAGAAAGCCCGAGACAGCCGGAGAAAGAAATGAAGATACATCACAATCCCAAAATGTCAGCAAGGAGAGCTCCACCATGACCAAATGAGACCAGGTGACAGTATAGGCAGCAACTGGCAAATCAAGAAGAGCCAAAACAGAAAAGACAACATCAAATGCAATCAACACAAAGAAACATTACCGTAACATGGCACCAAGAAGACCAACACCAAACTTAAACACAGGAGAAAGAACATAAGGCCAAGAAGCCCCCACACAAGAGGACCAGTAGATAGCTGCAAATCATCAAGGCTAGGCACACTGCCCAATTATACTTATTCTAAAACCATCAAGAAGATCAAATTTTGATGGCAAAATGATTACACAGCAACTGCAAGTAGGAAAATTTATTATTTTTCATATTTAAATTGCAAGGGACTGCTAATATTTATAACAAATTCTTCCCTTTTTGAAAAGCAATACAAAATTATGTTAATATTTTTATAGAGCAAAATGTAACATCTTAGCAGATAATTTGCATTGAATTTACATGTCCACTTGTGCCAAATAAAAGTGGGGAAAAGTCAGATGATGGTAGTGATATGCTTACTATGTAATTCTTGTAAATTACTGACCTATGTTAAGTGTCAGACCAATCCACTGTCGAAGAAGCTTGGGAACAACGACCGTTGTCGAACCCATGTTGATGTAGTATACCATTAACAAAGGCAGTGAAGCAAGAGTGGGAAGTACCAACTTGTATCTGTAGAAGACCAAATTCTCCAAGCATCAACTTTATTATGAACACAATCATATTACCAATCACTTGTAGTGGCCGGTCTCGCTTCATGCAGGTCGGCGTTCTATTCCCGATCGTCCAAGTGGTTGGGCACCATTTCTTCCCAATGTCTCATCCCAAATCCTTTTCCTGATTCCTTCCAAATGCTATACAGTCATAATGGTTTGGTTCTTTCTCTTTATAGTTCACTTCCCTCCCCTTCCCCCTTTGGGTGGGCACCAACCATATAAAAAACCAGCGTTGAATGTAATGAAACGCCATTTCTTGGGCGAGTCCCGGAGGCTCCTCGGAACTTACTAGGCTGATATGCTAATGTCAGACTTTGGCATCAGTCATGTGTATGGAGTACTATGGGCCTACTGGGGACCATGAGCCAGAACCTGGCCCCCTCAGAGAGGCAAGGGGAGCAATGGCCTATAGAAACCCTCGTGTGGTTGGAAGCATTCTATGTCTGCCATTGACCGGGTTAGGCACCCAGAAAGGTAAGCGTCCCAAAACAATCCCCTATTCTGGTGAAAATTGCTACCACAAGCCGAACAAGTGGATAGAACTTCCCTAAAATAAACGAGCAAACAATCATGACTTCACACGTCGCCGTGCCGTTGTCCGCGCAGCTCCCCCCTCCCTGGGAGGGGGAAGGGGGGGCCCCAGACCCATCGCGCCGGCTATCCACCCCCAGTTCTGAGGCTGAATGTCAAAAAACCAGCGTTGAATATAATGAAATGCCATTTTCTGGGTGAGACCCGGAGGCTCCCCTGAGCTATAAAAGGCTGATATGCTAATGTCAGACTTTGGCATTAGTCATGTGTTTGGAGTTCTAGGGTCTACCACCCACCACAAAACCTAGTCAGTCCCTGAACCCCAGATGAATAGGGACGTGCCAATATGCATCCCGGAGCTCCAGACACCACTTCCAAGAACCCGGATCTGGACCTGGGACAGAGTGGTCCCAGGTCCAGATGCACGAAAGGAAGTGCAACGAATCCAGGGGTTGAGACGGGGACTAGTCCAGAATAAACTACAGCTCCGCAAAGTCCCGTTTCGACACTGGAAACAGGCGGGAAACCCACCTGAGGGACGAGGTCGTTTCGTTCACGCCCAAGCGCACCCACTCCAGGATGACCTGACGAAGTGAAGGGGAAGAAGCCTGCCCCGCCAGCCACGAACCCCCCGTAGGAGGAGTCACCCAATGCCACCTCAGGCTGGAAGACAACCCGAAATGCCCCCACGAATCGTGGGACCAAGCGCAGGCAAACAGAGCTAACTGCCCCCCCCCCCCCCAATGCCCCGTCAACGGAGCGACTCGCAAAAGGGCCGACGACCCTTCCAAGAACCCAACTTGCAGGCAGAGCAAACTGGCTCAAATGCCTTTGTCCCCGCCTCAAATGGGGCAACCCCCCGAAGCCGCCCGAGTTTCAACCCCCAGCTAAACCCTGCCCCAACTCCGAAACCCTCAGGCATTTGGGAGCTGGAAGCAGAGGGGAGGGGGGAGGGGGGGAAATGGTAAACCACACCAACAAGGGGAGGATGAAAGGGTGAGGACTGAACCAAGGTCGAACCGACCAATGCCCCAAAGTCCGGATCCCTAAAACCAAAACAGGGCAGCTCCGAGGCATTCGAGCAGGCAACTAACCGAGCGTGTTGCGGCAACCTAAACCTAGCTTGCAATGAGTGAGCTGCTGGACCCCTAAACTCAACTATAACTGAATGGGTAAATTGGAGTACGAACAGAGAACAAGCTCACAAGACTCCAGGTCGAAGGTGTCATCGACCCAACAAGCAGCACGACGGAGCCAAAACAGGTGATCATCACACTGAAACAGGGAAAACTAACAACCCACAAATTCACACAAGGCGAGATGGGACTCTGAGGACACATCCATTGGTCAACTAAGCCCTGATGGGGGTTACCAGGGGCCGCAGGTGAATGTATTCCTACAGCAAGCCCAGACACTGGTGCTGCCACAGCAAGATGTAACCCTATATATATGACAGGCAAACTGGCCTCTGTGAGGTGAGCAATCTCAGCAGCTCAAAGGAGGACTGCCCTACTGAACCTAGGTATCACCTAATAGCCTCCCAATGGGCAATAAAGAAACCTATAGGTAAGAGAGAACCCCGAGGAAGCACCACAACCCAGGGGACCAGAAAGATTCACGGGCGCTGTGATTATGTAAGCTGGTCAGCCCAATGCGCCCCAACCAGCAACAACCACCCACCTACCCAGGGCCAAATGAAAGTACCGAGACCTTAGGTGACCCCAAGGGCGAGGCAGAAAGCCAAGCAGCTGCTACCTCTACAGGAATGGGAACCCGAAGAACCCATATAAGAGAACTCCGAGCCCCAAGGGGTGTATTCACAGGGCGCTTAGGGAAAGGATCCCAAAGCGCATGTAGCCCTTGGTATGAACTCCTGGCCACTGTGAACGCACAGCAGAAACACCAGCAGGGTGAAGCCAATCAGGCAACCGAGACCAGAGCAGATGTGCACCCCATTTAGCTTCAGCCAACAAACTGAAAGTCCGGCTGCAGGCTCGGTGGGCAGGAACCAAGGTGTGATGACGTGTTGCTTGTTAGCATGTTTTCCTTGGGGAGGGGGGGGGGTCTAGCCTGTTTGGTCTCGGGTTGTATTTTTTCTACCAGGAAGGGTATGTCTTGGAGCACCTAACTTCCTGGGTGCTCAACCCAGGTCAATGGCAGACTTGATTACTTTCATACATGAGAGTTTCATAGGCCATTCCCCCTCCCCGCTCAGCTCGTTGTCGCCGTCTGGGGGCTTAGTGGGCGGCTGCCGGAGTGTGATGCTCCTTGGGACAGTCCTCTGTCCTTTTCTAGCCTTGTGCTCCTGCTGCCGTCCTCTCCAATTCTGCTGGGCATCTTTTCCTTTTCCTTCTGTTTCGTTTTTCTCCCCCCTCTTCTCCTATCTGCTTGCCGTTTCCTGCCGACCTTTTGCTCGTTCTGGTTCTTCCCTTGGACTTCTTCTACTTTGACGCCCGGGTGCTTGAGGAGGCATACTCTTGCACCCGTAGAACTGCAGTACCCGACGTCGAGAGCGAGGGGAACCTTTTATTGTCAATCCCCACTTCGTCACTGAACCCGATCTCGACGGACTGTCGGTTTCTTAAGGTGGCGTTTGTGGGGCGTATACTCACGACGCACCCCTAGGAGGCCCCGACAAGATCGGCGATAGCTTCTTGTTGGGTGTCCTGCCTCTAATTGTGGCTCCATGGTGGGTGTGGGGGCACATTCGTGAGTGAATTCGTAATTTCGTCAAGATGATAACCCCTGTTTCGGCTGCTTCTGGCTTACCTTTTCAGGCTCGTGGGGTGGGCGACCAAGCCCCCGAGTCGGTCCGTATTGGAAGACCGGGCTCTGTAGCCTCCGCTGCATTGGGCCCCGACCTTGCTCCTCCTTTGGCCTCTCTGACTCCTTCCCCTGGCTTCCCTCCCTCCTCTGTGGTTGGGTCGAGCCCCAAGCCCCCAGTGGTGACTACCTTGTCCCCTGGCGCGGCTCCTTCTCTAGTTGTTACTACTGCGCCTTTTAACCCCTCTCTCTCTGGGGGTTCTCACCGCCGTTCTCGTCACGGCCGCCCTCGCTCGATTCCTTCCAGTTCTGCTACCTATCAAGCCTTGTTTGGTCCTGCTTCGTGGGCCAAATATTTTGATCTCCTCCCTCTTGATTCTGCGCCTCCTGACGACTTCTCCCTTCATCGACATCTCATTGATTCCGTGGATGCCTCCATTACTTTTAACCCCACTCGTCTCGGTACGCGTGTCGTTGCTGCTCCTTCTCAGGATGCTGCTTCCCGCTTGGCTGCCTTATCCTGCCTTGGCGAGACCCCCGTTCGGGTCTCGAAGAACGTCCAGTTGAATGCCAGTGTTGGCACTATTTTGCTCCCGCCCCATGTTGCGACCGGTGTTCGGGACCTACGCGACTGCCACGACGATATTCGACATATCCTCGCTGCCCAGGGCCATTCTATTCTCCAGGTGGACACGTTTACTCGTCCCCCTCGTGGTAGTCGCCGTCAACCCCTCCGGGTTGTGAAGATTACCTTTGATGGTAGGACCCTTCCACCCTCTGTCATTCTTGCTGGTGCCAGGTGCTCTGTCCAGGAGTACATTCCTTCTCCTCGGCTCTGCAACAAGTGCTGGAGGTTTGGGCATGGTGCCCTCCGCTGCTCCGGGACTGTCTCTCTCTGTCCTTTGTGTGGTGGCGAAGGTCACTCTAAGTCGGAGTGCGCTTCTCCCCAGGCTCGTTGCCTCAACTGCGGTGAGGCCCATCCTACCTTCTCCCGTGCGTGTGTCCATTACAAGCTTGAGGCAGCCGTCCTCAACTTGAAGCACCGGGAGCGTTTATCTTTTCCTGAGGCGAGGCGCCAGGTTCGCCGGCTCCCGCCTTATGCTAATATCTCTTATGCTCGCGTGTTGCGCTCTTCCTCTCCTCGTCCTTCCCGCCTTCCTCAGACTCGCAACCGTTTCCAGGCCTTGGACCCTGATGCGCCCACTGCCCCCTCCTCTGTCCCTTTGGGTTCTCTCCCGAAGGATCCTCCTCCTGGTCCTCTGTCTGGGGTTCCCCTTCCTTCTACCCGGTCTGTCGTGTCTTCTGTGTCTCCTTCCTCGTCCCCCTCCGATCCTCCTTCCCATCCTCTTCCTCCATCTATCGGCTCTCCCCGCCGCCTGTCGGTGCGGGCGGATGTCCATCGCTCTCCTAACGGCCGTCGTGTGTGCTCTCGTTCGGCTTCTCCTGTTGAGACACTGGAGTCCGTTGCCCGGTACGTAGTTGCTGGGACACCGGTCTCTTTAAGTCAGAAGCGTAAGCCTGGCTCCTCTCCTTCCTCTTCCCCGGCGGGTAAGAAGGCTTCGCTTTCTTCCTCAGCTCCTCCTTCTGGCTCTGTTGCTCCTTCCACTCCCGTTTCAGTGCTTGCGCCCCCTGTTCCTGCTATGGAGGTTTCTTTGGCCCCTG